AGGGATATTTCATTCTTCCTTATTGTTTTTTTATTTTTGTCTGACTGAGATATTTCAGATAATTGTTCTGCAATCTCTGAGATTCTATTCCTCAGTTTGGTCGATTCTGCTGTTAATACTTACAATTGTATTCTGAAATTATTGAAGTGAGTTTTTCAGCTTTATCAATTCAGTTTGGTTCTTCTTAATATGGCCCTTTTATCTTTAGCTCTTGTATTGTTTTCATATATTCCTTAGAGTGCGAGGGTTGGATTTTGACTTTCTCTTGATTGTTGATGACCTTCATTCCTCCATATTCTGAATTCTATTTCTGACATTTCAGACATTTCAGCATAGATAAGAACCATTGCTGGGAAACTAGTGTAGTCGTTTGAAGACAAGAAGATACTCTGGCTTTTTGAGTTGTCAGGAGTTCTTGAGATTGCTCTTTCTCATTTGTGTGGACTGATGTTCCTTTAGTCTTTGGCGTTGCTGTCCTTTGGATGGGTTGTTTTGCTTTTATCTTCTTTGATGCCCTTGGGGGTTTTATTATGGTATAATGTGGGTTCAGTCTACTGGTTTTAATTCTAGGCTGCTCCTGGATCTTGCCTGAGCCCCTTCTGATGACTGTCTCCATGCCCATGTTTATTTTGTTGTGTGTTCTGGTCCACAAGGCTCCCTCAGATAGGGACTCCTGGGTTGCCAGACAGGCTGAATCTTTGCCAGTCAGCCTTAATCTGCTGTCCAAGTGCTTCCTGGGAGAACACAGGGTTGCACCTGCCCAGACAGTTCAGGCAGAAGTGAGATCACGGGGCTGGAAGCACTAGCAGATGTGGCCCAACTGGCTATGAAAAGCTGGGCTAGGTAGAGCTGCCCACCTGCCATTGTGTTGTTTCCAGAGCAAGAGGAGGTTGGGTCCCTCACTTGATTCAGGCAATGTAGGACTCTAGACCAGAAGTTGTACCTGGCATGGCTCACCTGGTTATCAGTGACCCGGATGAGTGAGTTCACCCACTCTGACATCTGGGTGCTTCCTGGGACAAGAGGCTGTGCCCTACAACTGAGTTCACACAAATGTGATCGCTGGGCCAGAAGTTCTAGCAAGCATTGCCCTTCTGGCTATGAATGAAAAGGTTGGACGACAGAGCCCATCCTGCCAACTGGGCGTTTCCTGGGACAACCGGAGGCTGCAGCTGCCTGCTGAGTTCAGGTCAAAGTAGGACCACTGGGTAGAAAGCTAGCACCAGCACTGACCCCTACTTGGCAGGTAGGATGGTGCAGTCTTACTCCTCCCAGGCACTGTGACTGCAGCCTCTGTGGGAACTACAGTGCCAGTTTCTGGTCTGCTATGGGACCCAAGACTTGCAGACGTCCCCTTGGTCTTAAGAGTTGCCCCTGCAAAACGTCCAGGTGGTTCACTGCTCCAGCCTAGAAGCAGGGTAGGGGAAATGTGGAGGTGGGGAGACAGGCAGGGAGATTCTCTCATTTCCAGTTTTGCACAGGTGCCTGTGGAGAGCATGAGTCACCTGGGGCGTCTCTTACTCACTTACCCTTTCCCATGTTGGAGAGGTTCTTCTGGACCTATGATGAACCCAGACAGCCCGGTGCTTGGCTTCAGGCCTCCCTGCTCTCTGTCCCCTGCTACCTTGATGGATCCTGATGTGGTTGCCCTGATGATCAGCCTTCAGGGTTAGTTTTCACTAGCCATTCTGTTTCTTTTCCATGAGAGGAGTGCATATGAGCTGCTTCTAGTCTGCCGTCTTGGCCCAACCCCCTTCAAGATTTTTTTTTTTTTTTTTAACAGAGTTTCACTCTGTCACCAGGCTGGAGTGCAGTGGCACAATCTCAGCTCACTGCAACCTATGCCTCCTGAGTTAAGTGATTCTCCTTCCTCAGCCTCCCGAGTAGCTGGAACTACAGGTGCCTGCCACAATGCCCTGCAAATTTTTTTTTTTTTTTTTGGTATTTTTAGTAGAGACAGGTTTCACCATGTTGGAAAGGATTGTCTAGTTCTCTTGAGCTTGTGATATGCCTGCCTCAGCCTCCCAAAGTGCTGGGATTAAAGGCATGAACTACCATGCCTGCGCCCAAGATTTTTATTTTGAAAAGGCAAATAATCAATTAAATTTGACTGAATGCTTCATATAAAGACACTGTCTTCAAATACTGATTATATTTGCAAACCAAAGGAAGAATAAAAACGTGTATAATAATCATTTAAACTCCGAATTTCAGAATTTTTAAGTCTCAAAGAGGAGAACATTTTTAGTAATATATTTGGTCAAATCTAAGTTGACTAAAATTATCTAACTGACTTATTAGCCTAAGCAAATGTCTCATGAATCCATTTTATTTCTTTTTATGCTTAATGTTGCCTTTTTGTAAGAAAACAATTTATAGAAATTTCAGAATTTTATTTAAGAGGGTATTGATTTAGTTAGGGGTCTCCAGAGTAACAGAAACAATAGAACATAATATAGAAAGAGGTAAGAGGAGATTTGTTTTAGGAATAGGTTCATGTAGTTGTAAAAGTGAAGAAGTTCCATATATCTGCCACCTGAAAGCTAGAGAAACAGAAAAGCAGGAAGCACAATTCAGTCCCAGTCCAACGACGGGAGGATTGGTGGTGGAGCCTGTGAGCTGCCAATGGTGTAAGTTCCACTCTGAGACCAAAAGCCCCAGAATCAAGGGTGCTGATGTCTAACGGCAGGAGAGGACAGGTGCATCCATTCAAGCAAAGAAAGCAAATCTGCCTTTCCTCTACCTTTTTTTTTTCTACTCTGTTCCTCAATAAGTTTTGGGATAATGCCTGCCCCTCTGTTCTTGCTTGTTGTCTACTTTATCCATGGAGGCCCATAGCAAATCAATCATAGCTATTTTAAATTTCCATTCTGATAATTCCAACATTCCTGCCATGTATGGCTCTGATGCTTGCTCTGTATCTTCAAACTGGGGTTTTTTTGTTGTTGGTTTTTTTTTTTTTTTGCCTTTTAGTAATATTTTGCCTAGTATTTTTTTCTTGATAGCAGACATGATGTACTGAGTAGAAAGAAGTGTTATAAACAATAGGTCTTTAGTAATGTGCTGGTAAGTTGTTGGGGGAGTGGTCGGTAGTCCTATACAGTCATGAATTACATAATGACCTTTTGGTCAATAAACGTCAGTGGTCCCATAAGATGATAATACCGTATATTTATTGTACCTTTTGTATGTTTAGATGTGTTTAGCTATACAAATACTTGCCACTGTATTACAATTACCTACAGTGTTGAGTACAGTAAAATACCATACAGTCCTGTAGCCTGAGAGCAATAGTTTATACCACGAGTTAGGAGTATAATAGGCTATACTATCTAAGCTCATGTAAGTACACTCTTTAACGTTCACGCAATGACAAAATCACCTAACAATGTATTTCTCAGAACATATTTCCATTGTTAGGAAGAAACTTATACAATAATTGTGTCTGACATTTAGTGAGCTTGTCTCCCTAGATGATGAACTTTACAAGTGTTCCTCAGCTTTGTTCTGCGCCCTGCTTCAGGTGGGGTAGGATGGCTAGTGTGGGCTGAAGTTGGATATTTCCCTTCTATACAGGTTAGTTAGTCTCTGATAAGATCCCAGCAGGCTAGACTCTGAGTAACTAGTTTCTCCTAAGGACAGACCTTATTAAAAAGACCAGAGCGCTCCGGCACATTTTAAAATAGTTTTTTATTTTCCTCCTTCCAGATGCATGAGGGGATTTTTCTCCAATGTTTACTGTAAGACCTTGGTTCGGTTCCCAGATATAAAACTGACAGAAGCATGGCTCCCAGGTGAATGTATACCCCCGGAGTTTTCAACTCTCAGACACACCCACACTGAGTAGTTCATCCATTAAAGTTCAGGTTTTCCTGCTCCAGCACTGCTTCCTGTGGAGGTTTCTGCCTCAGTGTGTTGTAATTCTCTGTATCCACCTGTCTTTCACTCCAGTTTGAGGGGCAACAGTTTCCCCCATGACATCACTTCTCTCAGGGATCTACAAGAATTATCAATTTTTCAGTTTGTTCCTATTTTCACTAATTAGGATGGAGTGGTTGATTCCAAGCTTCCTACAAGAGAAACCGGAAACTAGAAGTCTCATCCATTTATTTATTTTTATTTTTTATTTTTTTTGAGACAGAGTCTTGCTCTGTCACCAGGCGCCAGGCTGGAGTACAGTGGCGCAATCTTGGCTCACTGCAATCTCTGCCTCCTGGGTTCAAGCAATTCTCCTGCCTCAGCCTCCCGAGTAGCTGGGACTACAGGCACGCACCACCACGCCCAGCTAATTTTTGTATGTTTTAGTAGAGATGGGGTTTCACCATGTTGGCCAGGATGGTCTCGATCTCTTGACCTCATGATCTACCCACCTCGGCCTCCCAAAGTGCTGGGATTCAGTCATAAGCCACCACGCCCGGTCCATTTACTTTTAATTCACATATGTCTTTATATTTAAAAGAGGTTTCCTATAGACAATATATAGTTGGTTATTGTGTTTTGGTCCACTCTGACAAGTTCCATCTTTTGTTGTGTTTAAGCCTTTGATATTTAAAGTTACTATCTATAAAGCTGGATTAATATCTACCATGTTTGTTACTATGTGCTTATTTTAAATAAAAAAATTTAGAATTAGCCCTAAGAAAATAGTCATAAGTGAGATTTTGGCACATGACTGATATAAACCAAATTTGGGTTAAATTCCAGGGAATAGAGATTTTTCCATTTCTAGACAAAGTGTTTTTCTAAGTCTATGTAACATATCTGTAAGTAATGTCATATGATAAATGGTGTCTTGGTACATTCTAGATGATTCAAAAGGTTATGTCTTTCACCCTGAGAAAGAAATGCTCTGTGTTCAAGATCTGGGTCTAAACCAGATTTTATAGTCTGTGACCTACAGCTGCAATAAAGACAGGCAGCAATGAAAGCAAAATACCTAATGAACACATGCCTACAAATGGATGGACTAATAGATTTAACACAAGAAACCCAACAGTAAGTCAATTTAACTCCCTTTATTTTCTGATGGGTGCCAAGTCACTTACTACATAAACAGCAACAATACCAAGTTTTCAGCTGATTGTTTTCTTAAAGGATCACAGAACTTGTACTCAAGACCTCATTTACATTAAAAATTCACTTGAGGTTTTCTGGTTGAAACTTTCAATAGCTTTAAGAATTATATTCTCTAATTTTTAAATCAACTGCAGTTTAAGCTCATTTGTGAGACTTTTTTCTCCTTCAGAGTATCAAATTCATTTATCACAGCAGAAACACACCTTTAAAGGTTTGTTTTTGTAATGGTTGTTGTTTGTTCATTTTTATTTGTTTGTATGCTTGTTTTTTAAGTATGATATTGAGGGCAGAAACAATGTGAATTCCATATTCAGGTTCACAGGGTAAACTTTTTTTCTGTTACATACACACTCCTTAATCACTGCCAGAAAGTGTACTCTTGATCATTTGGAAAGAAGAAATAAGAAAGTTTGGGGGACTCAAGCAAAATCTATCATTGCTATCGGACAAAACAGTTGAATCAGCATGTTCTGCTTTCAAATGGAAAGTGGTTTATAATTACTCCAAGTGACTGTCTTAGTCAATTCAGGCTGCTATCACAGAATATCACAGACTAGGTGGCTAAACAACACACATATATTTCTCACAATTTTGGAGGCTGGAAAGTTCAAGATCAAGGTGTAAGTAGATTCCGTTCTGGTGAGGGCCTGCTTCTTGGTTTGCAGATGGCCATCTTCCCATCGTATCATCCAATAGTAGCGAGCAGAGAGAGGAGAGCAAGTTCTCTTGTATCTCTCTGTTAAAGGCACTAACTACATCCAAGGAGCTCCACTCTCATGACCTAATCATCCCTAATATCATCACATCGAGGGTTAGAATTTCAGTATAAACATTGTTGAGGGGAGGGCACAAACATTCAGTCCACAGCAGTTACTTTCTTGTAAACGCAGAAGTCTTCTTACATAACTAAATTGTTGTTCAGGATTGACTTGGGTCTCTTGTGATTTATTGATCATTAATTTAAAATTCAGTAACTTGAGGATGTATCAAAAATTGGCAATGTGATACAAATTTTACTAGATATTAACTTTAACTACAAAAAAAATAACACTGTAATTAATTAAGTCACCACCCAATCCCAATCACTTTTCATACATTATCTCATTTAAGACTCAAAACAACTACAGGTATCCATCTTTACTCCCATTTTGCCAAAAATAAAGTTCAAGTTCAGATATATTACATAATTTAAGGTCATTCAGTTAGAAAACAGCAGAGCTAACACTTGAATTCAATTCTGTTTGGCTCCAAGATGAATATTTTTTCCATTTCATTGTATAAGCTCAAATATATCTCTCCTTGCAAAGGGATAAATATCACATAATCAGACTTGAAGGTTTTCCATGGTGTTAGTGTGAGTGATTTCTTCAAGTTTCTTATAAAAGGTTTGACTCAATTGCTTAAATGCCAGGACTACATTGTCATGCTCATTTTCACATAGTTCACTCAAGGAGTCACTGTATAAATGATAATAATAATAATGAGCCCACATTTTGATAACAATCAATATTACTAAAAGGTTAGCAGAAGTAATTGCCCCCAAACCTATCAGATGTAAATATGGAGAAAAAATATGCAGAATAATAAAAGGCACATTTATCTTATAAAATCTTTACAATATGCATCATGTATCTTGAGAAAGATAACGATATATACCTTCACACAGTTCCTCTTTATCTTACACCTAAACTTGCTCTGTGAGTTTGTAAGACCACAGAATTCCACATTCTTGGGCCCTGGAAGTGTTATTCAACTTCTTTTCTTCTCTGTATACATCTCATGAAAGCCATATGGACTTCCTAATATCCTGACCATTATTTTAAAAAACCCACAGTCACCCAATTCAATGAAAAAACATTCTGTCCCTATCCATAGATTTTAGGAACTAGAAGCTAGAGTGAACGAAAGGAGACTTAGAAAAGTGGGTCTTTCAGTACCTGACATGTGATTTGAGCATTGAAATTCATTGTGATTTAACATTCTGCCATCCTTTCTGTCTTCATGCCCCACCATATTCACTCTAGACCAGAGCTTCTGGTTTTTTTTTTTTTTTACTAGTCCTCAGTGGCTGAATATTAGGAATGATGACATCTTTATCTCTAAGTCTGAAATTCCTCCAGTTTCAGACCTATTATTCCATCTGACTGCTCGACATTTCCCGCTGGATGTCTTACAGACAACACATGTGACATTTTAAATCCCAACTCACACATTTTTATTGTCAGGTCCCAAGTCATCATCATGTATTCCATACTTTCATTAACATTATCATTAACCAAATCAGAAACCCCAGTTGTCATAATATCTCTTGCCCCTTTGCATGAATTCCACCTCTTGCATATTTCTCTAATCCTCATCATTCATTTCTCCCACCATTGCCTAATTCAAGCCTGGAATATAGCCTCCAACTTTAGCTCCCTGCTTTCAGTTTCTCTACCTCCTGAGTTAATCTACATACTATGCCAAAATAACATCCCTAAAACATAGATCTACGTCATACTCATCCTTAGAAACTCCCCTGTCTCACCTTTGTCTACCATTTTAAATCCAGACTTCATTGCATAACAAGTAAGACCATTCGTATATACAACCAAATTCCTTCCAAAGACTCCACACTCACTTCTCAGCATTTCCCCCTATCCTCGTCACAACCTCCACATTCCATACTCCACCATCATTACCTTGGGGCCTATCCCTGAATACATCAGGACCCTTAATATTTCTGTACATTTGGATACACTATTCTCCCTACTTAAAATCCAAATACTGTAATTATTCTACTTAATTATCCTACGTAGCTAGAATTACATTAAGTATAATTAATCTACTTAATGAATTTTCACTTCTCCTTTGAGACCTAATTCGAAATTATATCTTCTATAATGCTTTTTCTGATTCTAGTAGAATTAATCATAAAGTTATTGATGTTATCTTAGTATTTTATATGTAACTCAATCATAGCACTTACCACATATGATTGTCTATAAGAAAGTTTCTCCCACGACATTGAAGTGCCTGGAAGAGTCCCTCTTATTTTTCTTGTTTCAATTCTTGAGATATGTTTAAAATCTCCAAAGCTTCTCAGGCTGCTCAAAGAGGTTGAAGCTTTGGTAGCTATAAGCCACGTGGGGAATCCCGCATGTGAAGATACTCAAAGGGAGCAAAGTAGGGCCATCCTAAGACTTTCACTCTTTGTAGAGAGCTTCCCAAAGGGTCAGACTCAGCTCAGACCAAGGAAAACCACAAATGTGTCCTCACTAACAAGGTCCTCTAAATAAATATTCTCCACCCCAAACTGAATTTATGTGAAAAACCACACACGCTTGAAAAAGAAGGACTAGAGGTAAGGAAAATGGAGCTAGACAAAAATTAGATGAGCAATGGAGCATAGAGAAAGGAGTGCCCACAGAGAGTTCATATTTGCTTGGGTCTCTATTGACATTGGGGCAGATGAACACAGGAAATCAACAGAAGATGCCAGAGTCTGGAAAAGGCACTGAGTATGAGAAAGACTTAAGTGCTTTAAAGTGGATATAAACTGGAGACCTATTGAAGTCATTAGGGTGTAGCCTTCTGGATTCCCATTTATCTGACTTAGTGCGACGGCTCAGCATTTGTAGAAATCGAGTATAGTGAGGCCTGAAGTCATGAGGAGGTGACTTTGAGGCTCTGATCTGGATGAAATTAAGTTACAAATGGATTTGAGATGAATCTTGATATAAAAAAAATGTGACAGTGTCCTGAGGAATGGGTCTACAGAGGCTTTGGTCAGCTGAGTTGTAGAGAACCTGGGAGACTCAATGATGCTTTCTGAGTGCTCCTTCATGAGAATCATAAACTTACACAAAGGAAGGGCTCAATGTCTGCTAAACTATCATTAAGTAATCGAGGAAATCAAACTCAGCATGAAACATACCTGATAGCCTGAATGGTGAATGCAAAATCTTTCAAACACCTTAAGAGCTGTCCCATATGCATCCTAAAGAGAACAATATTTCTTAATTAAAAGGTATAAAAACATAAACATAAAATAATTAAACTTTAATAGTGGTCTGTCTATGGCAGTTAATTTATCTGTCAAATACAGTCCCAGTTGATAATTCGTTTTATTGTATTAATCATAATGAAATTCAGAAGCATAAGTAAAAAAAAGCCACACACACACACACACAAAAATTATTAAAGAGAGAATCTGACCATCATCAATGGGGGAGGGTGGAATATACAAGTAAATCTTAGGGGGCCAATAGGGACTAGAGATTAAAGTGAAAACAAAACAAGTTTATACACTAATGTTATCTCTACTTTCTTCATAACTAAGAACTAGAGCTAAGAAAAACAGATGTAGCTCAAGATTTGTGAAGAACAGCAGAACATTGAGCAAGATGCTATTCATCTCCCCCACAAAAAAAAACCAAAACAACAAATAAGCTATTCTATTTCATTGGAGTGATGAAGTATGCTGGAGAGTGGTAGAGGAGCACCTGCAGAGCACAGAAGCCCAAGGTAGCACCGTAGAGACAGGAGTGAGGCACCCTGCTCTGCCACACTGTCTGTCCTACCAAGAATGACTGGGAGTCAAGGTGGCTTCTTCTTACAGAAAAATGCTATGCTAAGGACTTCCAGTGCTTTCCATAGCCATCACAGATGCCAGCAGTTCTTACTACAAGAGAGTCTCCCAGTCCTCACAGACCCTGAATCTATTGCAGAGTTACCACAAGTTTAAATAGATACATTGGCCCAGAGTAAGAGCCCACATTGTGCATCTCCTCCTTCATGACTAAGCAGCTACAGCATGGTGACATTTTGAAACCAGACTCACTGCTAGACTGTATGCCCTACTGGAGGTCAGTAGTCACGCTCTCTCTCCATCCCTGAAGCCTACCATCATTTTACATCCAAAGCTATGTGGCAGCCCATGACCCACTAGGGAAAAGGTAGATATGCACAGCAAGAAAGCCACTGAACAGGTGGCCAGGCCACTGCACCTGTGCATACTCGTGCTGCATAGCCAGACAAACCACCATGGATTTAGTTTGTTCTTATATATTGTATATTCTTGTATATTGTTTCTTGAGGTACATCATTGAGTTGTTTAGTAAAAAAATCTTTCTACTTTTTTGATTTAGGCCTTTATTGCCATAAACTCCATTTAAAAACTGCTTTTTCTATACTCCATAAGTTTACTTATAATGTGTTTCCATTCTCATTTGTCTTAAGAAAATTTTAAATTTCCCTTTTAATTTGTTAATTGATCTGTTGGTTTTTATAGGAGTAATTGTTTAATTTCCATGTATTTGTAAATTTTCCAGAGTTTTTATTGTTGCTGATTTCTAGTTTTATACCATTTTGCTGAGAAAAGGTACTTGAAATGATCTCTATTTTCTTATATTTGTTCAGACTTGTTTTGTGATCAGACACTTCTCAAAAGGAGACATTTATGCAGCCAACAAATATATGAAAAAAAAACTCATCATCCCTGGTCATTAGAGAAGTGCAAATCAAAATCACATTGAGATATTATCTCATGACAGAATGGTGATTATTAAAAAGTCAGGAAACAACAGATGCTGGAGAGGATGTGGAGAATTAAGAATGCTTTTACACTGTTGGTGGGAGTGTAAATTAGTTCAACCATTGTGGAAGACAGTGTGGTGATTCCTCAAGGATCTAAAACTAGAAATACCATTTGACCCAGCAATCCCATTACTCAGTATATATCCAAAGGATTATAAATCATTCTACTATAAAGACACATGCACATGTATGTTTATTGTGGCACTGTTCACAATAGCAAAGACTTAGAACCAAACCAAATGCCCATTATTGATAGACTGGATAAAGAAAATGTGGCATATATACACCATGGAATACCATGCAGTCATCAAAAAGGATGAGTTCATGTCCTTTGCAGGGACATGGATGAAGCTAGAAACCATCATTCTCAGCAAACTGACACAAGAATAGAAAACCAAATGCCACAGGTTCTCACTCATAAGTGGGAGTTGAACAATGAGAACACATGGACACAGGGAGGGGAACATCACATGCTGGGGCCTGTTGTGGTGTGGTGGGCTAGGACAGGGACACCATTAAGAGAAATACCCAATGTAGATGACGAGTTAGTAGGGTGCAGCAAACCACCATGGCACGTGTATACCTATGTAACAACCTGCATGTTCTGCACATGTACCCCAGAACTTAAAGTATAATTTTTTTAAAAAGGCAATAAGTTTTATAAGGGATGCAGAACATAAAAGACTGGAAAATTTGCAAGTGACTGCAATAGAAAAGAAAATCCCATTTTCTGAGGAGAAATTTAATCCAGCTGCAGAAATTTGCATAAGTAACAAGGAGCTGAATGTTAATCCCCAAGACAGTGGGGAAATGTATCCAGGACATGGCATCAGTCTTCACAGCAAACCCTTCCATCACAGAGCCAGAATCTAGGAGGAAAATGTGGTTTCATAGGTTGGGCCCAGAGTCCTTGTGCTGTGTGCAGCCTCACACTTGGCGTCCTGTGTCCCAGCTGCTCCAGCCATGGCTAAAAGAGGCCAATGTAGAGCTCAAGCCATGGCTTCAAAGGGTGCAAGCCCTAAGCCTTGGTAGTCTCCACATGGTGTTGAACCTGTGGGGGCACAGAAGTCAAGAATTGAGGTTTGGGAACCCCTGCCTAGATTTCAGAAGATTTATGGAAATGCCTGGATGCCCAGGCAGAAGTTTGCTGCAGTGGTGGGGCCCCCATGGATAACCTCCGCTAGGGCAGTGCCCAAGGAAACTGTGTGGTCAGAGCCTCCACACAGAGTCCTAACTGGGGTACCACCTAGTGGAACTGTGAGAAGAGAGCCACTATCCTCTGTACCGCAGAATAGTAGCTCCACTGACAGTTTGCACTGTGCACCTGGAAAAGCCACACACACACTCAATGCCAGCCTGTGAAAGCAGCCAGGAGGGGGGTTGTACCCTGTAAAGCCTCAGGGGCAGAGCTGCCCAAGACTGTGAGAACCCACCATCAGCATGACCCAGATGCAAGACATGTAGTCAAAGGAGATCATTTTGGAGCTTTAACATTTGACTGCCCTGCTGGATTTCGAATTGCATGGGGCCTGTAGCCCCTTTGTTTTGGCCAATTTCTCACATTTGAAATGGCTGTATTTACCCAATGTGCATACCCTCATTGTGTCTAGGAAGTAGCTAACCTGCTTTTGATTTTACAGGCTCATAGACAGAATGGAGTTGTCTTGTATCGGATAAGACATTGGACTATGGACTTCTGAGTTAATGCTCAAATGAGTTAAGACTCTCGGGGACTGCTGGGAAGGCATGATTGGTTTTGAAATGTGAGGACATGAGATTTTGGAGGGGCCGGGGCAGAATGATATGGTTTGGCTATGTCCCCACCCAAATCTCATCTTGAATTGTAACTCCCACAATCCCCATGTGTCATGGGAAGAACCCAGTGGGAGGTGATGAAATTATGGGGACAGGTCTTTCCCAAGCTGTTCTCATGATAGTGAAGGAGTATCACAAGAATCGATGGTTTTAAACACAGGAGTTTCCCTGCACAAGCTCTCTTCTCTTGGCTGCCATCAAGTGAGATGTACCTTTCACCTTCTGCCATGATTGTGAGATCATGGAACTGTAGGTCAAATAAACCTCTTTTCTTTTTAAATTTCCCAGTCTTGGGTATGTCTTTGTCTGCAGTATGAAAACAAACTAATACAACCATTAAAAGAAAAACAGCAGAAAAACTTCACGATACTGGGCTGGGCATGGATTTTTTAAATAAGATCTCAAAAGCACAACCAATAAAAGCAAAAACAGACAAAAGAGATTACATCAAACTAAACAATTAACAAGTGAAGAGACAACCTATAAAATGGGAGAAAAATATCTGCACACTATACATCAGACAAAAGATTCATATCCAGAATATATAAGAAACTTAACAGCAAAAAAAAAAAAATCAATTTAAAAATGAGTGAAAAACTTTAATAGACATGTCTCAACAGAAAGTATACAAAAGGCCAATAGCTATATGAAAAAATGTTCAACATCACTAATCATCATAAAATGCAAATCAAAACCACAATCAAATTCCACCTCTAGTTAGAATGGTTATAATTTAACAACTCTAATTAGAATGGTTATTAATTTAAAAAAGACAAAAGAAAGCAAGTGTTGGTGTGAATATGGAGGAAAGAGAATGCTTACATAGTGTGGGTAGAATTATAAATGAGTAAATCCATTATGGAAAATAGTGTGTAAGTTCTTCATAATATTAAAACTAGAATTATGATATGATCCAGCAATCCCACTACTAGACATATATCCAAAGAAATTAAATCAGTATGTCAAAGAGATACCTGCGCTCCCATCTTTAATGCCACACTATTTACAATAGCTATGATATGGAACCATCTTAAGTGTCCAACAGTGGATGAACAGATAAAGAAAATGTGATACATATACAAAATGAGATACTATTCAGCCATAAAAAGGAGTAAAATCCTGTCATCTGTGACAACATGAATAAATCTGGAGGACATTATGTTAAGTGAAATAAGCCAGAGAAAGAAAAAAATATATTGCATGGTATCACTCATATATGAAATCCAAAAGGAAGAAAAAATAATATAATAGAAGTAGAGGATAGAATAACAGTTTCAAAGATTGGGGAGGGGAAGAGAGAGGAGGAGGTGGGCAGAGGTTAGTGAACACGTACAAAATTACAGTAAGATAGGAGAAATAAGTTTTAGTGTTTTATTGCACAGAAACGTGCCTACAGTTAACAGTACTGTATTGTAGATTACAAAACAGCCAGAAGAGAGGCTTTTGAATGTTCTCACCTCAAAAAAATGATAAGTATGCAAGGTGATGAGTACCCTGGCTAGCCTGACTTAATCATCATACAACACATATGTATCAAAATAACAAACTGTAGCCTATAAATATGTACAGTTACAATGTCAATTTAAAAACTTTAAAAATAAAAGCATTTAAATATTTAAAACTAATTTTGATCAGAATTATTCAAAAATTTATGTAAAATTCCTATAGAATTCCTGAATTAACTGTTCAAAAGCATGACTTTCCCCATTTCTACCTACTTGTTTCCATGACTCAATTTTTCACTTTCCATGTGAATTCTAAGTATTCATCCTTCTTTACTGCTTTGTAAAGTGATTTCCAAAGAACTGGAACAAGTGTCCCTAACAGATAGATGCTAAGTTAACTTTCTCATAATGTAAGTTTCTGATCTTTTCCTTCCACACCACATTTGTGGAGAAAAAAATAAATATTAATTTACTTATTTCATAAAAGATAATCTTTGATATGCTTCTGGAAATCATCCAACATTCTTTCTTAATGAATAATTAGTATAATGGTAAATTATTAAAATATCTTTTTGAGCTTCGTAATGTATTCAATTTTTTTGTCCTCAAAGTTAGGTTCACCAGAACCAGTTCAAGTACCAAGATTTTGGTAGTACCTACCCCCAAAATCCAAAATAATACTGAAATTTCTAATCACCAGAAATTATTCTTCTCAAAAGTAATCTAGTATGTTTTCATGATTAATCTATATTTTAAACTCTTAAAAATATTACTTATTAAAATTCCTATTTAAAAATATGTTTACATTTATATAATTATATGATGTAAATTATATGCTGTTACATTTGTAATATGAATATACAGTAACAAAACATAGATATATAGGTATACATACATTTTTCAGACACGCACTCATAAACCTACCCATTGGTTTGGCCTAATCTTGTCAAGCAGTTGTGCTTGTAGAAATTGAGTGCATATGCATTTAGTGGCATCCTCCTTCCTCGGTGATCGAATTTCCACGGCCACAGCAGAGGAGCCTGAGTGCCACTAACACCAACTGTGCGCAGAATGACCTGAGGAAAGACATTTTCTATTAATTCATTATTGATATATAAAGAGGAATTGTTTGCAGTTTGAGATTTCTTTTGTATGAATCTCAGTTTCCTAAAGTACATTCTGAAGAAGCTGAGGTGAAGGAGGCAGGCAGAGGAGGACTCCTGTGGGGGTCGAGGGAAATAGGGCCCATTACAGTGAGGGAAAGGGGCGTGTTGGAGACCCTGGGCAGCGCCACGCTAAGCACACCTCTGGACTGGGCAGCCCACTGAGGGAAATGGAAACTCTCACAACATACTGAGGGCAATTTCAGTCATCCAGCTACAATACCGTAAGCAACATTCACTAAGGAAAAATGCATAGAAGCAGATTTTAAAGTAGAATTTTCATCATCATCTTAATCGGTGCACAGAATGACCTTGAAAGGAGTGTCATGTAGCTCGTGTCTCCCTGTGCCCACAGGGAGAATACAATGGAACAGCACCAACCTTTGGGCTCCAGAGAGAAGAAAAAAATGGAGGAGGAGGGGTAGAAGAGGAATAAATGAAGAGAAGCAAAATGAACAAACAAAAACTAAATTTTCACAGTTCTGGGCATGTAAGACAAATTAATCTGTACAGAATCAGAAGAAGTCTGCAAATTCTGCCAGTGCATGGATAAAATTAAACTGTGGAGCAAGTGAAATAAAAATACAAGTTCAGGCCAGGCATGGTGGCTCATGCCTGTAATCCTAGCACTTTGGGAGGCCAAGGCAGGTGGACTGCTGGGGCCCAGGAGTTCGAGATCACACTGCGCAACATGGTGAAACCCTCTCTCTACTAAAAATACAAAAAATTAGCTGGGCATGATGGCATGTGCCTGTAGTCCCAGCTACATGGGAGACTGAAGTGGGAGGATCACCTGAGCCCAGGAAGTTGAGGGTGCAGTGAGCTGTGATGTGTCACTGCACTCCAGCCTGGGCAACAAACACAGTGAGACCCTGCCTTTAAAAAAAAACAAAGAAAAGAGAAAGAAAGAAATACAAGAAACAGAAGAGGAGAGAAAGGGAGGGGAGGAGAGGGGAGGAGAACAGAGGGGGAAGGGAAGGGGAGAGAAGGGGAGAAAGAGAAGCAGAAAGAAGGAAAGAAAGAAAAAAGAAAAGAAAAGAAGGAAGGAAAGAAGGAAAAAGAAAGAAAGGAAGGAAGGAAGGAAGGAAGGAAGGAAGGAAGGAAGGAAGGA